ATGCGTGTCCCGGCTTCTGATTGGGCTGCGCTGGCGTTGGGCTGCGCGCCCCGACCAATGCGCGCGGCCCGGGGCTGGCGGCGGGCGGGGCGGCCCGCGGCGCCGGCGGTCTGAGCTCGGCTAGGCGGGCCGGGCGGGGCGCGCGCCGCGGGAACGAGCCTGGCCGCCCGCCGGGCTGCGGAGACGGCCGCGGCGCGCGCGCGCGTGCAGGTAGGGACCGGCGGAGCGGGCGGGCGAACGCGCCGACACCTGCCCCCCGCGAGCCTGCCGGGGGAGAGAGGTGGGCTGCGAGGCCGTGGCGACGACGGAAGGCAGCCCGGGACTGGAGCTGTCTGCGGGGCCGGGGCTGCGCGGCGTGTCTCCAGGACAGCTGGCACCGCCTCGCTGAGGGCGCCCCGCCATCTGCGTCCGGTCCCCAGCGCCGATCTGCGGGACCTGACGCGCTCTCCAGCCCGGCCTGGCTCTTGGGGGAAGCAGTGTTTCTACGTGGAGTGGGCCCCCAGGCGGGGGTACCCACGTGTGGAGCTCGGGCGGAGCGCTCCTCCTACGGCCCTGTCGTGAGTGTGCCTTGCAGAGCCGGGGTTGCGACGGGGAGAGCAGGGGGCGGTGATGAATGGGACGCGGGGGGCGGCGGAGGCGGGCGCTGCGGCTTCGGTGGCTCCGCCAGGTGCGCACGTGCGCCACGACCTGTGTGTGATGTTTGGAGGCGGGCTGCGTGTGTCACGTGGACAGGGGAGTGTGCCTGTGGGTGCGTGTGCGTGTGTGCGAGGGGGGTGCTGGAAAGGACGGAGTGCACGTGAAGGTGGGTCACGCGGCCGGTGGCGTGCCGAGTTTGGGGCACAGGTCACCGCCGGGGAGGCCTGGTCAGTGCCCTGAGGTGCGTTTCTGGACATGCAGTTTCAGCACTCACTGTGTGTGCCGGACCCGCGTGTGCTCTGGGCACCGGTGCCCGCACAGTGACGGAAGGAACCCATTTCAGACCTGGTCCTTGCCGGCTTCCCCCACCTTGCTCCAGATTCTCCTCTCCTGGGTTCGGGGTCTCCTTGGCTTCTGTCCACAGCCCCCTTTGCATGCAAAACCAAGACCCCGCAGCGGAAGTCAGGAGGTGACTCCGTGAAGCTGCCTCCTCTCCCTCACCTGACAGTCTGTCCTGGGATCCAGTGTTACTCCTGCAGGACTCCCTCCCTAAGCCCTCGGGGGCAAAAGTCGTCGTGTGTGTGGGTGCTTCTGCTGGAAGACTTCTGCGCTTGTCTGTCCCCGCGTGCCCCAGCTGCTTGCTCCCTCCCCTCGGAAGGCTGCCCTGAAATTCTGCATCCACAAGGTTTTGCTGGACCTCGTGCTGTTGGTCGCCTTCTCAGACCTGCTCCCCTGGACGTCTTGAGTTGACTGTGTGAGATCTGGGATTTGGTCACTTTGCCTTCTCTCTGTAGCCAGAGCATAGCAGGTGCTCAGTGAAGGAAGGCGTGCCACTCCCCCCACCCCCCGGGGTTGGCATTCAGGAACCAGCGTTGTCAGCATCCCTGGCTGCTCCCCAGTCTCCTGCCCCTGAATTTCCTGGAAGGCCCTGGCTGGGAGAACCCGGGCAGATCTCTGTGTTATGAAGGCTGCCGGCAGCTGGCGTTGGTGAGGGGGGGGGAGGCGCAGGAGACTGGGGGCAGAGGGACCAGTGTGGTGTTCGTGGGAGCAGTGAGAAAGGAAAGGGTTGTTTTTTTCCTTTTAGTAAAATTTTTATTTATTTTCATTTGATTTGAAAGGCAGAGAGGTTTTTCTATTCACCCAAATGCCTACCACAACTTAGGCTGGGTCAGGTCAAGGCCAGGAGCTGGGAGCTCTGGTCTCCCAGGTGAGTGGCTGGAGCCCAAGTGGTTGAGCTGTCACCTGCTGCCTCCCAGTGTGTGCAGGAGGCTGGAGTCAGGAGCAGGGCTGGGACTCGAACCCAGGGACTCAGCTAGAGGTCACAGGCCCCCAAGCAGCATCTTAATTGTTGTGCCGGACACTTACTTGTCCAGGCTTTTAGGCGTTCTCTGGGGTTTGGCGTGGTGAGCTTCCCCGCCTGGCAGTGGGTAAAGGGCTCCAAGGACGCGGTGGCTGAGCACAGGGCTGCAGTGGAGTAGGAGGTGTGTTCCTGGCAGAAGGCGCAGCTTGTACGCAGGCCTGGCAGCAGAACAAAGTGTGCAGTTTGGGAGGCTGGGGGTAGAGTGCGGGGCAGGAGCCGAGCGTTTAAGTGTGGGGAGAGAGTGCATGGGGGCTGGGTGGGGGGACTCCTGAATTTCTGGCTAAAGTCTGGTAGGAACTGACCCCCCTCCTCCAGCCCTTCACCCCCATCTCTGTGGAAGGGGACGGGCAGGTGTGTTCGGGAAGGTACTATTGAACCAGGGGCTGTTGGGACCGCACTGCCCAGGAGTGTGGAGTGGGAGACCAGCTGGAGAAAGCTGGACTGGGTGCCCTGAGCAGTTGAAGAGGAATAGGGACAGAGATGGCAGATCAAGCCTGGAGACAGCATTGCCCTCTGTGGTGGCAGGGAAGAGGCTGTCCCATCCCTCCTCTGCACCTGGGGGCTCCCCAAGGACAGTGAGAGGGGGGTATCCTCCCCGCAGGCATCCACAAGCATGACTTGGCACTGGCAGGCGCCTGGGCCTCCCCAGGGGTGGGGGTGGGGGGAACTGAGTCATCCTGGGAGGGGGCGGGAACTGCGGAGGCCACCCGTTGCCAAGGCCGCCCAGACAGTCGTCAGGAGCATAAACATGGCTCCAGGGAGGCAGCCCGGGATGGCAGTCCCGGGTGGCCACCATCCCTGCCACTCTGAGTGGCTTATGTCGCTGCTGGGCTGCCATCCATGCAATGGGGTTGCTAGTGGCCTTCCAGCTCTCTGAATGAGGCTGAACTGTGTTGGGTTTCAGCCCCCCCCCCCCCAGCCCCTTCCTCCCAGGGCTAATTGGGTGGCAGAAGGGCTGAGCTGGCCTGGCTGGTTCTGGATGTCCACCGAGGGGCCAGGCAGAGGCAGGGCATGTCTGGGAACAGAACGGGTATTTGAAGTTGGGGGACCCATTTGGAGGAGGGGGCACAGTCTGTGAGGGGCAGCTGGATCAGGTGGCATGTGGCCATTCTACTTGGCACCTTACATTCCATCTGTGACTTCTGGCCATGGATGCATCCCAGCTCCATGTGGTTCCAGGCACAGACTGCTTCTGGGTCCCAGCAGTCGGCAGAGCAGGAGCCAGTGCCCAATTCACATACAGGCCAGGCTGAGGCTCCAAAGGGCAACACGACTTGGGCAAGCTAGCACAGCCCCAGACTGAATGGGTGAATGGTGAATGGGCGCTTTCCCGTACAGGGAAGGCCTGGCCATACTTGGGCAAAAACTGGTCCCTGGGAATCCTTCCTATGTCCCAGCCTGTGTTCTCTGTCCCTCTTTTCTGTGTGCCCACATGATCCCTGGTTACCTGCTGAGTAGAGAAATCTGCTAAGGCCCTGCTTGGGCCAGGCTCATCTCTGGGGTCCAGCCCCCATCGTCCCCCATCCCAGCCCATGCAGCCCCGCAGAGCCGTGTGTTGCTGAACACACTCACAGGCCACGGTGAGACTGCACAGATGCGTGACACACACAGACATGCCCCTGATTGCACAGTTCATCTTGCACAGACATTGCCTTGAGCCCTCACAGGCACAGCCTCAGGCACCGGGCACTGTCGCCTAGACACGCGGCAGGAACCTCGGGCCTCCCCAGCCACCTCCCTCCCTCCCTCCCTCCCTCCCTCGCAGCCTTGCTTAGTCACCTGAATTTGATCCAGGCGGGAGGCAGGGGAGGAGGGGGGTGCCTGACGTCAGCCGTCACAGCCGCCTTCGGCCGCCCGCGCATCCATCTGGGCCACAGTGTGTCCCAAGTGACCGCAACAGCAGCAGTGGCAGCAGCGGCAGCAGCGGCAGCAGCCAGGCCCCAGCTCGCATTTGCCAAGCTGCCCTGCTGGCGGAGACCCAGTCTGAGCTCCTTTCTGGGTCCTGTGCCTTTGCTCTTTTACCCCTCACCACCCCGGCCCCATTCTGCAGGTGGGGAACACCCAAAAAGCAGCAAGGCCGGCCCCTGGCTGCTGCCACAGGGGCTCCCCACTGGGCTGGAGCAGGAAAGAAGCTTCTGCCCTGACTTGTTGTGGGGTCCCCAGGCCTGTGCTTGCCCCTGACTGAGCCTCACTTTTCCTGTTAGAGGAGAGGTGGGGAATTCTAGGTTCTAGGAGGGCATCTTCTGGTTGCTCTGGCAAATTGCTCAGGAAAATCCTGTGGGAATAAATGTAGGGGCCTGGGCAGGCAGTGCGTGGCTTCCTCTCTGGGAACCCGGTGCCCCTCGGTCTCCCCACCATGGGGGCTGCAGCCCGAGGCCTATTGAGGGTCAACCTCTTTGAAGCTGCCTTCCCATCTGTCTAATGGGGACAGGGCTGTAGTGGTCACTATGGCAACCACCTATTTTCCCAGCTATTTGTCCAGCTCCTATCATGTTCCAGACAGGCAGACCCAAGGCCCTTAATCTCTTGGAGTTTATGCTTGGGAAAGAGGGGAGAACAGTGAAGGGGAGCTGGGTGGACAGCCTGTGGGGAGGGCCTCCCCTCCGGGCTCCCTGTCTTTCTATTGACAGTCTGCATGCTTTTTCCCCCACCAGCCCCTGACTGTTGCACACAGCATGCTAAGCATGCATTCTTGCTTACAGCCTTGGGAGTTGGGTGGGGGGAGGTTTAGCACCCATACTACATATGAGGAGACCGAAGCTCCAAGGCAAGGAGGGGGTGACCAGGGACCCCCATGAATGGTGGGTAGGCAGGGTTGGTACCCAGTCCCAGCCTAGTGGGTGGCTAAGTGGGCAGGGCACTTGCAGCCAGGCCTATCTCACGCCATCTGTCAAAGCAAGGGGGGCGGGCATACTAGGGATAAGCCAGGCAGGACACCCATGAGCCCCGTGTGTTCCTAGTGGCTCTGTGTATGTGTGTATGTGTGTGTGTGTTTGTTGGAGAGGTTGGGGCACACAGGAAGTTTACCCCAGACAGGAAGGGCAGAGGGGTCAGGAGTCCGCTCACTTCCTTTTTCCGGAGAAGATTCTGGAGGGCGAGGAGGGGCCCATCTGAGCCTGGGGGTTCAGCCTGGGGTCTGGGTGTTGCTCAGCTTCACGGCCAAAGGTGAGGGCAGAGTTGGGGGCTGGGGGGAGATGCTGTTCCTGAGGCTGCAGGTTGGCCTGGTACTTGGGTGCGTTCCAGACCACATTAAGTACAGTTGTGAGGCCTGGCTAGCGGGCAGCAGCCTGAGCCCAGGGCAGATAGGGCCAATGTTTCAGTCCCATGAACAAACTGGAGGGAGAAGCCAGGGGGAGGAAAGAATGACTGTGGAGTGTGGCAGCCTCCACAGAAGTTGCCTGTTCCTAACTGATGCTGTGTCCCTCTGGTGCTAGTGGGAGGGACAGCAGTGGAGGGGGAGATGGGCAGGGAGGCCTCCCTGGAGGAGGTGGCTGGCCCTCTACATTGCCAGCTCCCAGGGGCCTGAAGTGACCCTGGCCTCTCCTCTAAGCATCTTGGAGCCTGTGGTCTTCTGCCCCCTGCCTTTAGTTGATCGGGTTCTTTGCCAGCTGTGAAGCCAGCATAGTGGAAATGACTGTATGCCCATCTTACAAGTGGGAATACTGAGACATAGAGGGTTGGTGTGCAGCGGAGCCAGATGAGGAGCTGGAACACCTTCCATCCCTAGGGGCAGAGCTGCCTGTGGGTGCTGGTGACCAAGCAGAGGAAGAGCTGGGCCAGAGGTTTGGAAAGAGGGCAGTGACCTACAGGGCTGAGACTCCATGGGAGCAGAGCCTGGCTTTGGCCTCCCTACCCCAGGACCTGTGTGACACCCATATCTTCTTGGCCCTCTTAGGTTCCCGGGACGGCCACGCAGAAGACGGCGCCCTTGACGGAGGCCATGGAGGGAGGTCCTGCCGTCTGCTGCCAGGACCCCCGAACAGAACTGGTGGAGCGAGTGGCCGCCATCGATGTGACCTGCCTAGAAGAGCCGGACAGCGGCCCTGAGCCAGTCAGGACTGGTGTGGCACCTCCGCCGCGGCCCAGGGCAGCCTCCGTGATCCCTGGCAACACCTCAAGACCCCTGCCGGCCCGGCCCAGCCTCTCCACCAGGAAGTTCTCACTGCAGGAGCGGCCAGCTGGAAGCTGCCTGGAGGCCCGGGCTGGGCCCTACGCAACAGGGCCTGCCAGCCACATTTCCCCACGGACCTGGCGGAGGCCCACCATTGAGTCCCACCATGTGGCCATCTCAGACGCGGAGGTCGGTGATACACACAACAGGGAAGACCCTCTTCTGTCCCGTGTTGTCTGGGCCCCACAGCCTGCTAGCCTTGTCCTGATACCTTCAGAGCTGGGGTACTCACTTCCCAACAGGGGGGCACTTCCCATCCCCACAGGAGCTCCTCTGGACCCTGCCATTGCTGCCCCTATCCTGATCCCCAAGTTCTTTTTAGAGGTTTGAAGAGACGCCCACCCTCCAGCCAGCTTGATCCCCATCCTCACCTCCCCTCCGCTCCAACCCTGGGTCTCAATGTCTGCTTGGTCTTGGCCCCTACCAGGCTCAGGGCTCCCACTGGCCCCACCTTACCTCTGGACCTGAGAGTGAACTTGAATACAGAGCAGGTGCAGACTTCATCAGCTGAGCTGCTGCTGCTTCTTATTTATTTGAAAGGCAGATTTATAGAAACAGGGACAGAGATCTTTGGTCTGCTGGCTCACTTTCCCAAATGGCTGCAGTGGCTCTAGCTGGGCCAGGCTGAAGCCAGGAGCTTAGAATGCCATCCAGGTTTTCCTCATGGGTTCAGGGGCACAAGCATTTGGTCCATCCTCTGCTGCTTTCCCAGGCACATTAACAAGGAGCTGGATCGGAAGTGAAGCAGCCAGGACTTGTACCGGAGCCCGTATGGGGATGCTGATGTTGTAGACAGCGACTGAAAATGCTGCATCACAGCTCCAGGCTCTGAGGTTAAGCCTCCTGTGCTTGAAGCAAGGCTCTCTTGTCTTATTGCTGATGGTCTCTCATCTTTGTCATCCTGGCCACAGAGGCCTGCTCACACGTTTTCTTCTGGGAAGACCTGCTATTGACTAGGGTACCCAGAGTGCAGGCAGCAGTGAGAGCATTTTCTTTCTACATCCTTGCCTTTGCCGTGCACACTTTGGCATTCCCCAGGGCCTCCTGCCCTATAGGTGCTGGGAATGAGGGACCCGGAGCCAGGCCTGGGCTCCGAGAACACCCCTGAGATGGAACCAGAGTGCTGCCTCTGCATCCAGCCGCGCTTGATGCCTTCTCTGTATCTCCCTCAGGACTGTGTGCAGCTGAACCAGTACAAGCTGCAGAGTGAGATAGGCAAGGTAGGCCTGGAGGGGATGAGGGTGTCAGGGAGAGGGCCAGGGAGGCTGTAACCTATGTTGGGAGGCATTGCCACCTCTGTAGAGGGTACCTGGGGCCAGATGGGAGGTGGATGAGGAGGGCCTGAAGGAGGCTTGGGAGGGGGGCTGTGTCAAGCCAGGCAGGGCCCTCCCCTGCTGTCCTCCACCTGCCTGAAAGGAGTGCCTGTCAGGACAGAGATGGGATGTTGGCAGGCTCCACGTCTCCCAAACTGGGCCCGTGGGGGGGCTGGCATGTCCAGGAGGGGCTGACTGGTGTGTGTTTGTAGGGGGCCTACGGCGTGGTGAGGCTGGTGTACAATGAAAGTGAGGACAGACACTATGTGAGTCTCTGGGCTGGGCTGGGGGGAGGGGGAGGGTTACAGGCCAGAAGGGGTCTGGCAGGGGGATGAGGAAAGACAAGGGAAACAGGTTGCCTCCAAACAGGATTTGAGCCTCCTGATTCTGGGGCTGTGCAAGCAAAGACTGGCTTCCTCTAAGGCGAGGGCAGCTGGATGGCAGAGAGCACCAACTGCCAGCCATGCTTAACGCTCCCCGGCAGCCTGCGCCCGGCGCCAGTGGCACACTCCCTCTCACCATCTCTGCCCATGCATTCTTCCCCAGCCTATGTTGGCTCTGGTGGTTGCCCACGATGATGCGTCTGTCTTTCTTTCCTCCTTAGGCAATGAAGGTTCTTTCCAAGAAGAAATTGCTAAAGCAGTATGGCTTTCCACGTAGGTGCCTGTCTATCCCGGCCCGGGTAGAGACTGCTTGCCTGGGAGGTGGAGGAGGGAGGCCCCTGTCCCTGGCTGGACATGGTTAAGATTTGGGGGGCAAAGCCCTGGATTGAGGATGCACCTGGACTAGGACTTCCTTGTACTGTTCCACCCTTGAGGCCGGTTGATGTGGGGCCATAATGAGGCCCAGCTGCTAGGACAGTGGCATGACTGCCCTTCCTGGTCACAGGTCGCCCACCCCCAAGAGGGTCCCAGGCTGCCCAGGGAGGCCCGGGCAAGCAGCTACTGCCATTGGAGCGGGTGTACCAGGAGATCGCCATCCTGAAGAAGCTGGACCATGTGAATGTGGTCAAACTGATTGAGGTAGGCGGTGGTGGGGAGAGCAGGTGTGAACTAGCACTTGAATCTTGGGGATCCCTGGCCTGGTGTGGGGCTGCCACCAAGGGAGCAGGTGGGGATTCAGCTGCTGAGGTTGGGGCTGGAACCGGTCTGGATGCTGTGTGCACTGCGGGAGGCCATGGGGGAATGTGGCAGTCCTTCCCTGTGTAGCGCCTGTTTAGTTCCTGCTCTGTGTCCAGGGTGGCTGCAGGGCATACAAGGAGAGCTCCTGGGGCTGAGAGGACTAGGAGGGCTCAGAATCCCCTCACCCCAGTGCCTATGTGCTCCCTTCGCCCAGGTCCTGGACGATCCAGCTGAGGACAACCTATATTTGGGTGAGTGTTGCAGCCCCCTTCACAGGAGCCTGCTCACCTGGGGCAGGTCCATGGGCTGGGTGGACATGCTATTCTGGGGGTAGGGGGCGGGCAGAAGGAAAGTGCCCACTTACTCTCCAGCTCTGGGGTCCCCTGTCCAGCCCAGCAGGAGCAGGTCCACTGAAAGGAGAGGGATTCGGGAGACTGCCCACTGCAGATGCCTCTGCAGGACAGGTGCAGGCGGGAGGCCTTGGAGTGCAGTGCCTCAGTTTCCCCAGCTGCAAAAGGAGGATAATTGCGCCTCAGCCGGGGCAGGCTTGGAGCAGACCCTGAGCTGCTGCACAGGCTCCTCTGATATCCCGGGCCCCCATCCTGTCTGTCCCCCAGAAAGCCTGCATGCCACCCCGCTCCTGCCTTTGGGAACAGGGAGGGGAACCTGACTCAACTGGCCAGCCCTCACTTCCTTCTCTCTTGTTTCTTTCAGTGTTTGACCTCCTGAGAAAGGGGTGAGTTTCCTGACCCAGACAGGCAGGTGTATTCCAATCCAGGCCTTTTCCCCGACCCCTCACTGTTGCCCCGTGTCATTCAGCCCCAGGGTTCGTTCCTCTGGAAGTCAGAGGCGCAGGCCCTGTCTTCAGGGAGCACTATGATTTGGGGTAAATAAGAGACGAAGAGGACCAATCTCTAAAGACTGGTGGGGCCCAGGGCAGCCAGAGCGGTTGGAGAGGCCCCTGGGAGAGGAATTGGGCCTCAGGAGGAGGATGTGGGTGTGGGGGAGGGAGAAGGAAGAGCGTGTTTCAGGCTCAGATGTCGTGATGGGCTCCGGTCCACCTTCCTGTGTTCAGACCACAGAGGTGCTTTCCCGTAAGCTTGGGATTGGAGAGGATTGGACTCCACATTGCGGGGAGGAAGCAGGGTCAGAGAGGGCAAGCACCTTGCCCAAGGCCACCCAGCAGCCGGTCGGCATTTTAACGCACGCACATCTGTCCTGCGTGGTTCTGCAGGGCAACTGTCGAGTGGTGGGTGTGAAGCTGGGAGAACAGACACTCCCCAACCAGTGCCAGGCTGTGGCTCGTCTCTGCCTGGGCTAGGGGTGCGTGGTGGTGGGGAGGGAGTGTTTCTAAAAGACCGGTGGGGACTGGGAGTAGCATCCCTGTGAGGGCCCCTGCGCAGAGCAAGCAAGGCGGCCTGGCTCTCTTGTCTGTGAACCAAGGCTCTGTGTGGCTGTCTGATGCTACGCAATGTGTCCTGAGAACTTCTACATAATCAGGAAAGGTAAACCAGTTGCCACCCTGCAGACTGGTCTCGGGATCATCTGCAGAGTCTGGCTCACGCTTGATAAATGTGGCTACCAATGACCTCTTGGCCAAGCTCATTCAGGATGAGAATGATAGAAAGGGGATGTTGATGTCTGTTTTAGCTCTGAGGACTCTTATGGGATGTCCTGACCCCTCACACCCGCTTATCCTCAGCCAGACTCCAGTGAAACAGCCCTGCCCTCGTCCTTCCCCACAGACCTGTCATGGAAGTGCCCTGTGACAAGCCTTTTCCCGAAGAGCAAGCCCGGCTGTACCTGCGGGACATCGTGCTGGGCCTGGAGTACTGTGAGTGGAGGACTGGGCCTTTCCTGTCAGTCTACACGAATCTGCCAATCAGCTTTAGTGGGGGCGTGGCGCGAGCCTGTGGGTGGGGCCAAGGGCTTCACAAAGGGATGTGAGCTGGGGCCTCTGATGGGTGCTGGGCTGGTGCCAGGTGCCTGGCAGAGCCTGGTTTTTGTCACTGTGCTGGTGTTGCTTGTCGGATGCTCTGCCTCTGTCTTTCCTCTGCTGCTGTCCTGGCCAAGCCTGGCCTCTTCCCAGGTCCCCAAGAGATATGATACTGAAGGGAACCTTGTCCTTGCTTGGGACCTGGGGTGTTCCACCACCAAGGGCTCCCTGCCAGCTCACTCATTTCATTCATTTCAGTTATTGATGGGTACCTGCTCAGGGCCAGCTGTGGACAGGTGGCCAGGACCCAGACCTGGCTTCTCAGCCTCCTTGAAGAGAAAGGAACCCCAGCAGCCTGGGGCAGCTTGGGGCTGCCCGGCCTTAGTGGGTCATGGGTAGGGTGGGGTGGGCAGGGCTTCCTAGAAGAGGCCACTTGTGACAGGGCCCTGGAGGATGAATAGGAGTTCACTGACCAGGGTGTGGTGCAGGAGGAGAAAGTATGGTAGGCAGTGGCACAGAGGGAAATCAGGAGGTACTTTTGCAGGGGGAGAGGGAGTGTTCAGGGAGAATTCCACCCAGTGGAAGCTGCCATGGGTGAGGTGAGGGTTGGAAGGCGACGCTCCTTCCAGGCCCCAGCATCAGGGCCGGGCAGGCCTGTGGAGGTGTGGTGTCCTCGGGGCCTCGCAAGGCTTGGAGCAGAGGATTAGTGGCTTAGGAGGCTCTGACAGCTGCCTCCCTGGACAGGAGGGTGCGAGACAGCTGGCCAGGGAGGGGCCCTTTCCCTGACCTGAGTGACAGATGGGGAGGCCTGGATTAGTGCAGTGGCAGTGGGCAGGGCATGTGAAGGAGGCGGGGTGGCCAGGGAGGTCTAGGGAGAGGCTGTGGCTGGGGTTGGGGGCCAGGCACCACCTGTGGCAGTAACATCTTAGCTTGGCCCTGGGCACATTGTGGGTACCCAGGGAAAGTGCAGCCTGCAGTGGCAGGGGCCATGATGGTGTCTTCGTACATGTGGGGAAACCAAGGCAGACTGTGGGGAGGACTTTGTGAGGCAGTACCTCATATCAGGCTGGACGTGTGAGGTGTGAAGGGGAGATTTGGCCTTGGGTGTGGTCAGTGGCAGATGTTCCTCCCGCTCCGGACCCGCCTGGCTCTGCCCCTTCCTGTTCCAGACCCTTCCTTCTGTCTGCAGTAGACCTGCTGCCTGCCCTTGCTTGTGCTTCCAAACAAGCAGGTCTCCCCTGGTGCTTGAAGAAAGCCTGGGCAGGATGGTCCAGGAGCACAGGGCGGGGCTTCTCTGCAGGGGGTTGCTTTATCCTAGGGCTGGACTGGCAGGTGAGCGCCAGCAGCAGGGTGTCGTGCCCAGCTGCTTGGTGATTCTCGGCCCATGGAGGGAGAGGGAGAAAAAGCATTCTGTTTATTTATTGAAGGCATATGTAGAGGGAGGCCAACAACCAAGGCCCCATTACTGGTTCACCCTCCAGGGGTTGTGGGCGGGAGTCAGGACCTCAGGGTAGGGACCCGGTCACTTGTGCCATCTCCAGGGTTCTGCCTAGGCAGGAAGCTGGAGTCCGGTGCATGGACCCCATGCACCCTGGAATAGGATGCAGGCAGCATAATCCTGCGGCTAAAGGGATTCCCCAAGAAAGGAGAGTTAAGGCTGCCCCAGGAGGGCCCTGTGGTCAGGCTGGGGCTGTGCCGGCTCCCCAGCAGAGAGGCCTCCTGCTTGGGGTACCGTTGGTCATGTTGATAAGCTGGACACAGGGTCTGAGGATGAGCCTGAGGTTTTTGACCACTAGCCATCTGCCTTGAGCAGAGTGGGGAGGGGTGCGGGCTTCCTGTTGCTGTTTGTTTTTCGTTGGCGGTGGGGGTTGCCTGCAGAGACATCTGGTTCTGGGTCAGCCGAGCCATTGCTCCATTGCTGTGATGTCCTGCGAGAGGTATTGATCTGCCTTTCCGTCTGTGGATGGACTGGCAGAGCCGAGTGTGGCATGTCCACAGGGATGGAGAGCTGGAGTTCAGGCTGAGGCTTGAGACGAGACCTCAAGACCACCCTTCCCCCTGCCCTGGGTGTTCATGGGTGGGTGTCGAGTCCCTGGTGGGTGCTTAGCCCACCGGAGGCCATGGGGAAGGTGCCGTGGGCTTTGTGGCCATTGTTTTTTGGTGTTCACATGCTCTGCCCTCTCATCCTCCCTCACTGTCGTCTTGGGGGCTGTTGATGTAGGGAAGGGTGTGTGCTGAAAGAGGGGTCCTCGGTGGAAGGCCGTGGGGTGGTGTCCATGCCCCCTGTAGGCTAGGATGTCTCTGGCTATCTCCACGTGATGCGGTAGAACAGGCTTCCAGCCCGCTGGGCTGTGTCTTTGTTCCAGCTCCTTCCTCTCAGGGCTGGCCCACCATCCCTCCAGCCATGTTTCCCCTGGCCGGGTGGCTCTGCCGCTGTCAGCCTGGGCTGAGCCTCCGTCACCTGCCCTGTGCAATGATGCATAACTGCAACACCCTCTTGTGAGGTTCCCCTGGGAGGAGAGCATGCTGGGGCCTGTGAGGGCAGGCAGGGGTCCTGGCAGGGCCCCGGGCCAGCCCTTGTGCACCCCTGTCCGCAGTGCACTACCAGAAGATTGTCCACAGGGACATCAAGCCGTCCAACCTGCTGCTGGGGGATGACGGGCACGTGAAGATCGCCGACTTTGGAGTCAGCAACCAGTTTGAGGGCAGCGATGCGCGGCTGTCCAGCACGGCTGGGACCCCGGCGTTTATGGCCCCTGAGGCCATTTCTGATTCTGGCCAGAGCTTCAGTGGGAAGGTGACTACATGGGCCAGAGCCTGTCCCTGCGTGCCCTGGGGACCTAGCTTCTACCCCGAGGGTGGCCCTGTGTCCTGGGATATAACCAATTTCCCTCTTCCATGGCGCTTCCTCAGCTCTGCCCTCCAGTCCTTCACCACACAGCAGCCCCCTAGGTCCGGCCCCAAGATAGCTTCTCCTGGTTGCTGTGCCTTGGGCTCTGGGCTGGGCTAGGGGACAGGCAGAAATGAAGACAGCACCGCTGCCTGCCCTTCAGGATGGACCAGAGCGCAGGAGACTCAGGATTCGGGCAGGGTGGGGAATGCACTCTGACCTTGGATGTGGCAGGGTTGGGTACAAGGTGGCACCCAGAGACAGGGCGAGAGGATTGAGGGCCTGGGGACAGAGCCCAGTAGGGTGTGGGCAGCAGCGATGAGATGACCTCGGAGCTCGGGCTTTCTCCCTGGTTAGGACAGGCTTTTTGCCTGAGTGGTGACCCCAGCATGGTGTGCTCCCTGGGTGTGCACGTCTCACCTGTGAGGTACTGACTGTCCCAAGAAGTGCCAGTTAGGAAGTGTTTGCAAGCCTGCATAGCTCAGGAGCTCATGACAAGCTTGTGGACTGAGGTCTTAGACCATGTCTTATTTTTATATAATTCATGATGTTTCATTCTGAGAAATTCATTTTTAAAATGACATATAGTCTAAAACTTTTATTTTATTTATTTATTTAAATGTATGTATTTTCCTTTTATGTGGATAGCAGAGAGTCAGATTTTCCTTCTACCAGTTCACCCTCTAAGGGCCTAAGACAGCCAGGGATGGGCCAGGCCAAATCCAGGAGCCAGGAGCTCCATCCGGGTCTCCCACAGGAGTGTGGGGCCTGAGTACTGAGCGGCACACTGCTGGCTCTCAGGTGCTCCAGAGAAGGGAGCGTTATTGAAAGTGGAGGAGCTGGGACTTGAACCAGGCACTCCAGTATGTGAAGTGGGTGTCCCATGTGGTAACTACAAAGCCAGAGGCTTGGCTCTGATTTTGATACGATTCTAAATTTACAAATCCTATAAATCCCATATCCCGACATTTTATCTGATTTGTTTTAATCTTCTATTTAGGTGCACTCGTGCTATTTGTTTTCTTTAAAGGTTTTATGACTTTATTCATTTGAAAGGTAGTGTGACGGAGAGAGAGGGAGGGGCAGAGAAAGATCTTCCATCTTCCATCCCCTGGTTCATTCCCCACATAGCTGCATAACCAGGGTCTGGCCTGGCAGAAGCTAGGAGCCTGGGACTTCAGCAGGGTCTCCCACATGGCTGCAGGGACCTGAGTACTTGGACTCTCTTCTGCTGCTTTTCCCAAGCCTGTTAGCAGTGAACTGGATTGGAAGCAGAACAGCCAGGACTCAAGCCGGTATTCCTGTATGGGATGCTGACTTCACATGCGCTGGCTTAAGCCATTATGCCATACCATGGGCCCCTGTTGTAACTTTCCCAGGATCCAACCCTAGGTCACTTGATGCAGTCACTTGTCTTTGGTAACCTTGTCCTGTCTGGAAGGGTTCTTCAACCTTTCTTTGTCTTTCCTGACCTTGGTAGTTTTGGAAGAGAGAAGACCCCTTGCAGCCTGTTGCCAGCTTGCCTGTGTCTGGCATTCTGACTGGTTCAGTGGAACACCTGTAGTGGGGGCAGGGAGGGAGAGATGGGAGAATGGCAGGGTAGGGGCTGGGAGTGATGTGAGCGCTAGATCCAAGGCATGGGGGCACCTGTCAGTGCTTATAGCAGGGCCACAGAAACAGGTGGCTGGGGGCTTGACCAGTGGACTGTTAGAAGGGCTGACCCTTGTAAGCCAGAGCTGCGTTAGTGAGCATGAGTTCAGTATACACACCATTGTTTCCAGGATGCACTGTGTTTTGGGGACAGCTAGAATGAGGCTTTGCACCTGTTCAGACGGAAGCCGGTCTGCTTTGGACCTTGTCCTAAGGAAACTCTGGACTCTTGCAGGAAAAGGGACCCTGTTTTGGTCATCCCTGTGTCCCCAGAGCTCAGTCCAGGGCCCAGCATGGTGCAAACACCTGCCTGGGGAAGGAGACTGTGTCCCGTAGCTCACTGGGGCCGGGTGGGCTGGGGTGCTGGTGCCTCATGGAGGATTGATGTTCTTTCCAGGCCTTGGACGTGTGGGCCACCGGCATCACTCTGTACTGCTTTGTCTATGGGAAGGTGAGTGCTGGCTGACTGGGTTGTTCCATCCCTTGACACCATTCATTCAGTTGCTCTTTCTCTCCACACACTGTCCTCCACCTTTGCCCTGGGAGGCAGGCTGGACCTTGGGGACATCTGGAGCCCAGAGGTCACAGCCCTCAGGTAACCGCACTGAGGGGCAGCCGGGGACCTCAGTGGATGTGTCCCCCCAACTCCAGGCACGGGGTGGTGGTTTTGCTGGGGGCGGGTGGGTTCCCCAGCCTCACGGTCACCCCAGCAACCCCTTGTTTCAGTTGATTGTCACATATGGGCTATAGCACGGCAGGCTCAGGACAAATTAGATGGGCTCCTTCCCGTCTCCTGGGGGGCTCCAAGCTGCCCAGGGGCCCGTCCTGCTGGCTGTCAAGGTCTGCATGCTTTGTCTGCTTCTCTGCCCCCAGTGCCCGTTCATTGATGATTACATCCTGGCCCTGCACAGGAAGATCAAGAACGAAGCTGTGGTGTTCCCTGACCAGTGAGTTGGGCCTCCTTCCTTCCCCTGCTGGGGATTTAGTTGTAGAGCTCTGCCCACCGTGGTGGGGGGCGGGGAGGAGGGCTGAGCCCATGGAGGGCTGGGATCATGGAACCCATGGTCTCTGAGACTGTCAGGAGCAGGTGTCATTGCATGGGGTAGGGGGTAGAACTTGGGGGTAGGCCTTGGGATGGCCCTAATCACACAGGCACGCCACTCCTCCACTGCAGGATCAGTGACACAAGCCCATGAACTCAAGGGGAACACCACTGGCCCTACCAGGCAGTGGCCGGGTACCAGCCTGGAGTTGTAGGGGGAACATGGTCATTGGGGCCGGGACTTGCAGCCCCTTGCTTCTCCCATTGTGACCACATTCTCTCAGCCAGGGGCTCTCTGGGAGGCTTCCCTGCTTCTCCCTGCCCGTCCTGAGGTCAGCCCTAGCCACATGGGCTTCTGGCCTGAGCTCCCCAACTCCATGTTCTCCTATCTGCACATGGGCTGGGGCAGGTTGGAAGCAGGAATGGGAGTTATTCTCTGTGGGTGCTTCCGATCTGCCCACCTGGGGCTGTAGTGCTGCCCCCCAGACCTGTGCAGTCATGTACTCTGCTGACTGCCGGCCTCCCTCCAGCGCGGCCCTGGTGAGGCTTGAGTTGTCCGACCAGATTCCTGCTTGGAGCTTTTCTCCTGGCTTTCCGGAGTCCACAGGCCAGGGGGCCACCCTGCACTGGGCTGGAGCCCCTCACACCCGCCCCAGGTTGTCTGTTTCCCCTGCTTGTTGTTTGCCCAGCTCTGCTCTCCTACTGTCTCCCAGCACAGTAGCTAGGGAAGGGATGAAGCACAGAGGAAGCCCAAGGCTGCAACCCCAAATGGGGTCCTCATCCCCAGGAGGGTAGGGGCTCTCCATGAACTCTGGTGGGCAAGAGGCCTGGAGACCTGGAGCCGGGACATGGCCAGGGCAGGCTGGGTGGCTGTGTGCCAGTCTGCTCACCACTGGCCTTCCTGGCCATCTCTAGGTCGGGGGAAGGGTCTGGAGGGGAGAGTGGAGGCCTCTGGTGTCTGCCCAGCTGATTTCTCTTCCGTGATCCTCAGCGTCTGCCCTCCCTGGGGGGCGTCCGGCTCCCACAGAGCCCCGTGTGTGTTGTGGCCTTTGTCAGAGGGAGACCGTGTCACTGCCCCTCCCTACCCTGGGAAGGGCACCCCTGTGCTTGTTCTGGAACTCTGCCTTGGGAGCCTGAGGTGGGGTGCAGGGAGGGTTCTCATGAACTACCTCCCTCTCTCTCTCCTTTCTTCCCTCTCATCAGGCCAGAGGTCAGCGAAGAACTCAAGGACCTGATCCTGAAGATGCTGGACAAGAACCCTGAAACTAGAATCGGGGTGCCAGACATCAAAGTAGGGGAGCTAGAGGTCTTGGGCTAAGCTAGACCTCAATTCGTCTTTCTGGGGAGGTGGGCTGTGTGTATGTGTGTGTGTGTGTCGGCCTGGGGGCTTTTGTACTGAGTCCTTTGCTGGTGGGATGACCACATGCCCATGACCTTGGCCCATCGCTGTCCTCTTGGCCTCCACAGTTACACCCCTGGGTGACGAGGAATGGGGAGGAGCCTCTGCCCTCAGAGGAGGAACATTGCAGTGTGGTGGAGGTGACCGAGGAGGAGGTCAAGAACTCGGTCAAGGTCATCCCCAGCTGGACCACGGTGGTAAGAGGGTGGGACTGGGCAGCTGTGCTGGCCTGGGGGAGATTGGCAGCAGGGCCTTGGTTCTCTGCCCTCCCTGACCCTGACGCCCTACACTGCTGCTTCCTCTGTCCTTCACAGTGGGTCAGCCCTGCATTACAGCAGCTGACCTCCCTCTGCTGGCCGGCGGGGTGGGTGGTATGGATCAGCTGCTGGTAGGTCTGGGCACCCCCTCACAGCAACCTATGCCCCGCAGATCCTGGTCAAGTCCATGCTGAGAAAGCGTTCCTTTGGGAACCCGTTTGAGTCGCAAGCACGGAGGGAAGAGCGCTCCATGTCAGCTCCTGGAAGCTTGCTACCGTGAGTAGCTGGTGGGAGTTTCCTGGGGGATAAGAGTCGGGGGTCAGGTGGAGGGAGTTAACACTGCTGATATTAGGCTGTGTGGTCCAAGCCTGGAGCCTGAGGCCACCAACAGGTCTCAGAGCCGGGTCCTGTCCACAGCTGTCCTCCAGGCCAGGTTCCTTTCTGGACCAGACCCAGCTACCCTCACTCACCTCCCGCCAGGGGACAGGATGCCTTCTCTGTGTTACACCTTCCCCACTGAGGTCCCCTGAGCCTCTTGGTGGGCTCTGAATATGCCACACCTGGGGTTTGGGGGCCCAGAGGATCACCGGCAAGGGTATATCCCCTTGCAGAAGGCCTTGTGGGGCAGGGCACTGCTGCTCATGGGCCCTGTCCACACTGCCTTACTGAGAGGCTCAGGCCACCTATATGAGGCCATGTGCCAAGGCAAGGCATCATGGGTGCTTACGTTCCCAGGCAGTGTGGTTGATCAAAGGACTTGGCCAGGGCACGGCCACCCCATTGGCAGAATCACATGCTTGTATGGGTGTGCCACCTCACAGGACAAAAGGTGCTGCCCAAATCCCTGTGAGCCTGTCCTCAGCCTGCCCACATGTCCCTCCCTGAGGCCTACAGTGTGGGTACAGGCCTGAGAGAGCCCCGGTGCCCCCCACCTTGCATGAGAGAGCTGGCACCTGTGCCTGTGCAGGGCACCAGATGCGAATTTCTTAGGAGGCTCCTGAGAAGGTGGGGTCCCTTCACAGCAGGTGCACTGGTGTCTGTCCCATTCTGGGGACGCCCCGTAGCCCTAGCTGCAGCTTCCCATGCGTTCTGTGAGGTGATTGAGTTTGGAGGTCCTTGAACTCATCTGGGTCTGTAGGCCCTGAATCCTGGAATTGTGTCTAATAGCAGGGATCGCTTATAACCTGACGTCCAACCACGCCACTTTTGAGGGTGACAGGGGAAGCTGTTCCACATCTGGACAATAGGTGCTTGCGGGGCTGTTGAGCAAATCGGTTAGCTCAGTGCCTGTGTCCCAGCGCCCCCTAGTGACAGGATGAGCCAACCACGGTTATTTTATACCTGCAAGCTGTGATCCTGATGGTGGGCTTCAAGCTTTATTATTATTATTTTTTTCTTTTAAGACTTGTTTATTTTCATTTGAAAGGAATATTTATGGAAATAGATTGACAGAAATATTCTATCTGCTATTTCATTCCCCAGTGGCCATAAGCCAGGAGCCAGCAGTTTTCTTCTGGGCTTCCATGTGGTCCCATGGGGCCTTCTCTGCTGCTCACAGGCTGGGAGCAGGATTGGAAGTAGAGCAGCGGGGATGTGAACTGACGCCCATATGAGGTTCTAGTACCACGGTCAGAGGCTTATCCTCCATCACTGTGCCTGCTCCACGTTTAATGCTTTTCAGCTGTAAAATCTTAGAACTTGGACTCAAATTTAATCTCAGAAGCCAACTGTACCTTAGCAGCATCTCTTTTTGCCCTTGATTGGCTGTTTTTTACACTCTGTTTTTTACCAATGATCTAGGATCATTGGTAGTAGCATGCTGGGGTTGCAGGCAGCGGTTTCACCCACTGTCCCACAGTGCCAGCCCTGACGGTGGTCTTGGGAGGGGAAAATCAGTTAGAAGAATCCGCTAGGGGGCTGGTGTGATAACTCAACCAGCTAATCCTCTCCCTGCAAGTACCGGCATCCTGAATGGGTGTCGGTGTGTGTTTCAGCTGCTCCACTTCCCATCCAGCTCCCTGCTTGTGACCCGGGAAAGCAGTGGAGGATGGCCCAAAGCCTTGGGACTCTGCAGCCATGTGGGAGACCCAGAACAAGCTTCTGGCTCCTGGATTTACATTGGTGCAGCTTGGGTGTTGCAGCCAATTGGAGAGTGAACCAGCAGATTGAAGATTTCACTCTCTCCTTCTCTCTGTAAATCTGCCTTTCCAATAAAAATAGATAAAAAGACTGATGTATAGGAACTGTTCACTGTGCCCTGGGCAAAGCAGATGTCAAATGGAAGGCTCTCTGCCCAGCTCCATACCCGGGTTGGGGAGGGGGTGCTCTTTGGGGCCAATGTGGAAGGCCCTGGACCTGCATGGGAGTCAGTTGGCTGAGCGAGGGACAGGCTCTGGGGACCAGCTGGGGAGCCCCAGGAGGGTGTGCCTGGGACTGGACATAAGCTGGGTTTGGAAGGAGTCTTTGGTGAGGGATGTGGGGGGTTGAATACCTTGTGAGATGGCATTTTCTGAGGGTCCTCTGCTCCCCTACCTCATGTCCCCTGAACAGGAAAGAGACATGTGGTGAAGGAGGCAAGAGCTCGGAGCTGCCCGGTGTCCAGGAAGACGAGGCTGCATCCTGAGTCCCTGCATGCGCCCAGGGCCGGTCGGCAGCACGCTCACCCTGCGCCTCCAGAGGCCCACGGCCCTCCCACAACAGCCGCCCCGCCCCCGTGGGCAGCGGGCTGGGGACCACACCCCCTCTCCCGGCTCCTCCTCCCCCGTCGTGCTGCATGAGCTCGCGCATGCACGTCCAGGGACAACATCATCGGGACACGTGTCATCCGGGGCTTCGCCATGGTGGTGGTTGGGGGGTTGGGGCCGAGTGCACTCTCCCTGGCCTGACCCACCCTGCAGTGGAGCCAGGTACCCAGAGCCTGGCTGGTTGGCAAGGCCTGGGGCAGGAAAAACCCAGAGGGCAGGTGGAGGCCTGGCTTAGCACCAGTGTAGAGCCCTTGTGTGGAGGAGTGCCATGCCCCCCTCAGATGTGGGCCTGGAGGCTCTGTCTGGCAGGTGTACCTGGGCCTCACCAGGCAGAGGGCCAGTGTGCTTTAACCCAAGGGGTGGCAGGAGAAGTCCCCCTGTGTGGGGATGGCCAACAGCTTTGCATCGTTCCCAGCATGTGACCAAGAGGATTGAACTGTGTTTCAGTACCCAGAAATTGGGCTGAACCGAAATGAGATGGAAGCAGGAGTCACCTGCCTCCTCCTTCCTTGCCTGCCGAAGGGCCACCAGGGGCTGCCACTGGCCTGGGGTTAATGAGTGATACCCAGGGTTGTGGCCCTGTCCCCACTCAAGTAACTGGAATCTACTCGCTGAGCCTACACTGGCTTGCTGCACAGGCAGCGCATCTGCCCATGGCTTCACCCTTGGGACAGTCAACAGTGAACCTGCTTGGGGCGGGAGTGCTGGAGCGGGTGTGGACACAGACTGTCTCTGCGGGACCAGGGCCTGCTTGGCCGGAATTTATTGACCAAATAGACACTCTTGAGAGATTGAGGAAGGAGGTGATGCCGGCCTCTGAGCACAGGGCTGCCGCGTGGGGTTTCAACGGTACAGGAGGTGGGGTGCTGGACTGGAGGAGGGCTTGGGTCCTGCCGCAGCCACGTGCCCATGGGTGTCCACTGCACCTCCATGTACACACGGCTTGTGCGTGCCCATCTACTGCACACAGCGCACTCGCATGCCTTGTCCCGATTGGTACATACATCTGTGCTTGAGTTGCTCCATCTGTTGTGGGGCCGGGAGCAGGATGGGGTCATCCCTGGCTCCTTGGCCCTGGGCATTCAACGACCCACTGTTCGCAGAGTGCTTCAGCGCTGTCCTGGAGGGCATTCCAGGGGAGAGTCTGTGTGAGGCGAGTGACCTGCCACATGCCATGGCTGCAGGGGTCTCCGTGGCCTGGGCCTCCCTTGAAGGAGGCTCAGGGGTGGTTGGAGCCCTATGGGTCCATGCCTGTGGGTTTTGCAGGCAGCACAAGTAATAAGCAAAGCTCCCTGCGAGTGTTTTAAATATTAACTTCCCAGGAAGTGAGCTAAACACAATAAAAGCCTATTCTTAAGTTTCAACAAAAAAAGGGCTTCACAGTGTGTCTGTGTGTCTGTTTTCTGCAGCTGGAGGTGTGTTCTCTCCTGCACTGACTGACTTGGCTCATGTTTCTGGAAGGATCCAGATTGTCCCTAAGGCCCTCCTGAGTGGGACAGCAATTGTGAGACGTGCTGTTAGGGCCGGTGAAAGGGGAGGAAGGGAGAACAACTGACCTGGGGTTCAGGAAGCAGTTCAGACAGCTGGGTAAGCCCTGGGGCCCCTCCTAGGGAAGAACAGGGTGTTGGAGCCAGGGGGGGATGTGGGGTGGAAGTGCCGAGGGTCCTGCTGGGGAGTGACATGGCCTCAGGTACTGGTACAGCCTTGTAGGCCCTGTGTCCCCCTGCCCCAAACAAGGCCCTCCACGGCAGGGGAGGGCAAGAGGGCATCTCTGAGCACAGATAGCCTGGAGTTGGAGGCCAAGTGCAGCGGCACAGTTGCTGCTGTGGGGGAGCCTCAGTCTGTGTTGGGCGTAAGGCTAGTGACCTCAGCTCCTCTCCCGGGCAGTGAGGTTCTCCGGCCCTGCACCTGCTGTGTGGCACGGGCATGTGATTGTAAAGCCAATGAGATACTGAAGGAAATGTCCTGTAGTAATCAGAAAGGGCTCTGAGGCCCTGGATATAACATAGTTGGTGCTGGCTGCTGAGTGGAGCTGGGGTACCTGGTACTGAAGACTGGGCAGTAGACAGAATGGGAGGCTGCCCAGCCTGTGGATCAGACTCCTGCCCGCCTCCTGGTAAGCACAGGGCTCCCCCAGCCAGTCTCTCTGCTCCCCGCATCCTTACAGCCATTCCTTGCGGCTTCGGCTTCAGAACCTCTGATGGCAGTGTGCTGGGCTGTGGTCTGGGAGTCAGGGTGAAATAAAGAAAATGAATGGACCTCTTTGGGGAGTTGTTTTCGGTTCCTATGGACGGTTCCCACACATGCCCTTGACCTTGGTTAACCTTGCTTCAGTGGGTTCCTTTCCTTTAGTTGATGCACCAAGCTGGATTTGTGGCAATGAGTTACAGCTGCTGTTTCCACGAGGGCTCAATCTTGGGGTTCTGCATACTGGGGTTTCAGTAGCTGCCGGTTTGCACCATCACAGCCTCCTATGGGTTGTGCCGTGGTCCTTGAGGGCCTCTGGGCCCCACCTGCTCCCGTGCCCCATCACAGCAGCTGTGGATCTCTTGACCGTGTCCATCCACCTACCTGCCTTTTCCAGAAGGTCACATACAGTCACACGTCACTTAACCAACATGTTCCGTCTGCCGTGGGCTGCACAGCTGTCCGGGCCGGCAGCTTCTGTTAACTCCTGATGGCTTTTCTCTGTTAAGGAAAGATGAGACTCCCTCATCTCTTCCTCTTATCCTTTCATGGAAGAGGGAAGGAAAGAGGAAAGGGAGTGACCAATTCCTGCTATGGGCAGGGAACAAAAAGAGAGAGGCCTTTTGGAAGCCTGGCCCTCTACTCCCCTTAGCCCCCTTTCCTCAGAAGCAGAGACCACCCTGCTCCACTCCGTCACTGCCAGTCTTTCCCTTCATGGACACTGGCCTCCTCAGGGCTGCTCATGACCAACGAACTTCTAAAGCCATTGTCTGTACTTAAACTCTGAACTCCAGTCTGTCCCAATGTCCCACCCACTCTCCGGGTCTTCTGCCAGTGATCTAGTAAAATGCAAGCCAGCCAGCCTAATTGTGTAATCTATTTGTGTCCCCATTCATTAGATACATCTAGATGACTAAGTCTCAGACCCAGGTTTCATCCCATAAACAGCCTAACACCCTGGATCAGCGTCTATACCTCAAGTTTCGTCGTGTTTGATATGGAGTGTTTAATAGAAACGAACCCTTCAAGGGTTCAAGCGCTTGTCTAGCCCAGAGACATGGCTTTCAGCACAGATCTGGTCCTCACGGCGTGACTGTGCAGCGTCCATCGTGGGGACTTCATTCCGTGTCCCCACTGCGACCCCTGCTCCTCGCCAGGCCCCAGCTCCAGCCGCCAGGGGGCGACGGCGCTGCGGGCGGCCTTCTGACGGAGGCGGCGGACGCTCTAGGTGGCGGCGGCTGCTTCTCGGTGGCCCGTGGCCGCGGCGCTCTAGCCGGCAGGTGTGTGGGGCGGGCTCTCGGTGGTGCGGCCGGCGGGCAGCGATGGCGGCCGTACGCGGCCTGCGGGTGTCGGTGAAGGCGGAGGCCCCGGCCGGCCCGACCCTGGGGCTCTCCTTGCCCGAAGCAGAGTCCGCTTTGGAGCGCGGCGAGCCGGAGCCCATGGAGGTGGAGGAGGGCGAGCTGGAGATCGTCCCGGTGCGGCGCTCGCTGAAGGAGCTGATCCCGGTACGGGCTGGCGGCGGGGGTCGAGGAGCAGGTCGCTGCGTGGGGGTGTCCTGTGCGGGAGGTGAGGGTGCTGAGGGGGACCGCGAGGGGAGGTGGTCGGTGTCCCAGGCCAGGGAAGAGTGGAGAACGAAGAGGAGAATGGGGGCGCTAGCGCTGGGGGACAGGGGCGCCCGGCTGGAGGGGGGACGCGCAGCGGGAGAAAGGACGCCCGGGGGCCCGGAAATGGGTGTCGGGGGGACTGGAAGACGGGGAGCGCCTGGGGGTGGCCGAGGACACCCCACTTCGTGGTCCCTCCTTGGGCAGTGCACGGGGGAGCGCCTGGGGGTGGCCGAGGACGCCCCACTTCGTGGTCCCTCCTTGGGCAGTGCACGGGGGAGCGCCTGGGGGTGGCCGAGGACACCCCACTTCGTGGTCCCTCCTTGGACAGTGCGTGGGGAGGTCGCGGGAGGCGAACCCAGAGCTGTGGGGTGGCACAGGCTGCCGGCCCCCATCCCCTGGTGGAGGAGATCCTTCCTCCGGAGGGGCTGGACCTGGCGGCAGCTGACCCTTGCTATGTTGGGGCTGCTATGTTGGGGTCGTGCTGCCCATCCCGCGGCAAAGCTCCGCTGCACCTCCCCGCCTGTCCGCACCAGCGTCTGACCCTCAATGTAAGCCAGGTATCCAGGGTGCCTGTGCTGTTGCCCGCGGGCATGGTGAGAGGTGGGCAGCTTGTGGTTTCGTGGTGGACTTCTTGTCCAGTTCGTGGCTCCTTCTGTGTTCTTAATTTCCCACCCAACAGCAACTATGTTGTTTGTTTTTAGCCACATGGTCATCAAGTTTGCTTTAACTGTGGTGTTTAATTTTGATTGTTCATTTTCTTTGATGTGAAAGGCAGAAAAAACACAGAAATGATCTGTGGGCTGGTTCATTCCTGCAGAGGCTGGCAAACGCTGGGGTTGGGCTAGGATGAAGCCAGGAGCCTCAAACTCCATCTGGGTCTCCTGTGTGGGTGACAGGTACACAAACACTTGAATCATCACCTGCCACCTCCCAGGGTGCCCATTAGCAAGGAGCTGCGTTGGAAATGCAAGAGGCTGGGCCTTGAACCGGGTGTTCCCTTGTGGGGTGCAAGTAGCCAAGTTGTGGCTTACTGCCCTGCTAAATGCCCGCCCCATGTCTTGCTTTTAAACTGAAGTGAGGAGGAAAGGTTAAGGTAGGGTCACTTGAGATGACAAACACCACCATGGTAACTGTGTTAGATGGCAGGTGATTCCCTCATTTCAATTGTGAGGTAAGTATTGTCATGCCTTCCCTCAGTTAGCTCTGTATTGTACGCCCCACTATGTCAGGCACAGTCAGACATGCCTGTGGGACACACAGAATCAGTTTCCATAGTTAGCATGCAGTTCTGTGAAAGGGACCCTGTGAGCGGGTGGGGTGCAGGGGTAAGGAGAGGTACAGTGGGAAGCAGGACGCGACTGGATGATCAGAAAGGGGAAAGCCACTGAAACAGCGATGGCGTTCAAGCTGAGCCCTCAGCAGTGGAAAGGAGCCAGCCGTGCGCAGGTTGGCAGGGAGCAGGGCGAGCTGGGGCGCCTGCAGAGGAGGTGGAAGAGTTCACAGGGCAGCTGATGGGCACCTGGAAAGGTCAGAGGAGCCGTGCAGTGCTGTGCTGTCCCATCTTCTTGCACTCTGCTGCTTTCCCCTGCCATTCCGGAGGGGCGGGTGTTCCACCTGCTAGCCTGAAAGAGGAAACTTGTCCCATCCCGGCTGCCAAGCCTCGGCCTCCTCTTTGCCTTTTTTTTGC